AATTCATCCTACGCTGAGAAAACCTGCCTGCAGGCTCTGATACTTCGACCTGCGCTTTGCTATATGAGCTTGTGGCATGGAAAGACTGTTGCAGACTTGTGTGGCCTGGTTACGCCAAACTGAGCTGTTGGCATGCGAGCTTGGCACGATTTGTTGCAGGACTTGGCACTCTGATTTAATGTTTCAACGCGCAGAGTGGCTAGTTAGTTGGGTTCATACATCAGAACAACATTCTGCAAGTGACGGTGCTTAAGCGGGTCTCTAGACTTTCTCTAAGCTTTTTGGTCTCGCGTATCTTTTTGTCTTCTATCGGGGTGAATCTCATCCATGCTATTCTTCAGTGCTTTCTCTTTGCCCAGGACCTCACCTTGTTACTTCCTTCTAGTCTTTTGCTGTGTTTTTTGTAGGAACAATTATCCCGGAGATGTGTTGCCCTTATGTTTCATGTTGCTGCAATTTTCTGCTGCACGGCCTTCATGCAGCCACGGAAAACTAGCAGGTGCTTAGAATAAATCTTCAGCTGGCTTTGCTAGTGCATATGTCCGTTTAAGTGCATGCTTCTACGTTTCTAAAACATATATATATATGTATATAGTCATATGAGATGTGTCACATATATATATATATATACACCTGCTGTCTTTAGGAACTTGCTCCTCATTGTGTCTATCAGTGTCTTTGGGTATCTTTGTCAACTTTTCTGTTTTATTTCCACAAACTTTGAAAGACATAGAAACGGATTGCCACGACCTCCATGCAGTGTATCACAGTAAGAGGTCTGCTTGCGTTTGTTAGATCAATTGCATGCAAACATATGTCATTTTGATGTTTTTCTGTTTGTATGTTGTCAAGAATTCTCGGATGTTGGAAAAATAAGACTAGTCTCTTTGATAGGGGATTGTTCGAAGTCAGCATCTTCTTTCAGGCAGATATTGATGAAAACGGTATACGTCCTCCAGGGTGCTAAGGAATAATCTTGTTGGCACATCAGCAGCCACAATTGTTGCACGTCCATTTACGTTCTTAGGGTTGTGTTGACCAACACACCGCTTAATTTGCAGTTATGGCCGCGAAACTTCCGCGAAATTCAATGTGACCAAGACATACCTTGGTCGAGAGAGCTCCGAACATGTGTCACATGCGAATCAGCTAGATGAAACAGCATGGCATTGCTAGCAGGGCTGTGATTGGCACTGTGTTTCTATTCAGTTTCCAATTTTCTGCCCTTTGGCAACTCGGTGTGTTGCTCAGATATGGGTCTTCCAATTCTGCAGATTTCTTGCTCCACGCAGTTTTTCCGATTTCTGGTCCCCAGTTCGGGGCTTTGCTTCTCACTTGGATGGGGAAGTCCAAGCGAGACTCCAGCCGAAGGGATTCGGGTCGAAGCAAGAGAGTTGTAAGGAAACGGGAAGGGAAAAGCAAGACCAACAAGTCAAAGAAGCGTTCACGCAGTTCTTCGTCCACTGCTTCAGAGTCTTTTGATGACGCTGAAGTTCAGCTGGCTATTTCCATTGCTGCAACCTTTGGGTTGAAGCTAGTCTGTATATAGGTAGTTGAAGACATGCATGTTGCTTCCGAATTATTCTAGTGCTATAGAGGCAAACTGTTTTTTTCCGAGGCCTGTCTCTTTTGTACATCTTGTGTCACGCTTGAGGAAGGAGAAGAGCCTGCAGCTTGGGAAGAACATTTCGAAGGTGGGCGATCTGAAGGCATTTGTTCTCGCCACGTGCCTAGCTCGTGTTCATCCACAGGTCACAGAGCAGCAACTGATGCGTGTTGGCGGAGAAGCCTTTGAACTTCGCCGCAAGGCTTTGTCTGAATTTCGTGTGTCAGACACTGCAGAATCGTTGAATATTCGAGTGGCACTGGCTTCGTCCATGGCATCTGCTGAGAAGCTGTGGAAGGGACGTATGTTGAAGATTCTTGACAAAGGCGCGGTTGGGGCATTTTGTTCAGATCTGCCTCTTGGATCTTTTTTGGCTTCTTTGACAGATGCCAAGTATGCATATTTCAGATGTCTGCAAATTTGGAAGCCCTCAGCCAACTACACGCTCTTAGGTGATGTAAGCAGATATTCTTGTTTTGAAAAAAATGTATGTGCACCCACTGCGTTACTAGAGAGATTTAAGTGCAACATTCTCAATCTGTCTGGCTTGAATCATGTCTCGCTTTGGCAGTGGCGGAGATGGACGAGTTCTCTATCATAAGCCAGCACCAGACCGTGACAAGCTTGCGCAGGACTGCTTGTGTCAGTGTCATGCTGAGAAGCTGTGTTTCGGTGAAAGCTGGAGCACAACAGAGTATTGTTTCTGGAAGCTTTCCTGCTTCTCCTGTCTCTGCATGTGTCTGTTCTTGCGATTTGCCTGTATGTTGAAGCTGCATGTAGAATTATTTGTTTGCGGGTTTCCTTCCAGGAGCATTTCTACGGAGTGTTCCACCCGCATGAATGATGCTGAGAAAAGCATCCAATGGACCGTGGAGCTCAAACAGATGCTTAGTGACTTCACCAAAGCAGCCCAGCAGGAGTTGGCTGAGATTCACAAATCGGCCACGACTGCGTATAACAGGAAATCCAGAAGTAGGAAGCGCAGGTCTAGAAGCAGAAGCCAGAGACGTCCTAGGGAACCACATGCTCGAAAGAGAGAGAAGCAATCTGAGGCTTGCCTCGGTGAAAGTCTGTTTGAACAAGATTCTTGTCCTTCTAGGGCTTGCAAGTGCGACACTTTGTTTCTGACATATTTTAAAACATACCCATATCACCTGAAATTTTGCTCGGGAAATATATCTATATTCCGACAGTTGATCTGACCTTGTTTGTAGCATGAGCATCATAATCTGCCTGTCGATTTGGTTCATGTATTCTGCCATATTGTTTCGAAGCTAAACTGGCATTCTTCTGGCATACTATCTGACAGCTATTCTGACATTCTTTCCTGCGTATATGCATTTTATTTTCTCTTCTCTTTGGCATGCGTATGGCCATTCTATGTGCCGACCTGTTCAATGCTTTGCCTGGGACTCATTACACATTCTATTTGATTCTACTTTACTGATGAAATAATGTCTCTTGACTGGTATGTCATTCTTGCTGGTCTCTATTTGTAATGTCTTGAAACAATTCTTTTTAGAATGCATGCAGATAATTATTGTTGCGTCGTTTTCGGGTATATGCACCTATCTGTTCATGCACAGCCTGATGCCAAGGTGGCAACACGGTTTGCCATAAATGAGATTTTCTACTATTTTGACATTGCCGTGTAGTATGCGATAGGTTTTCGGATCGGTGTGTGCAATCACAGCTGTGGAGCTTAGGGTAAGTTTGCTTCACTAGAGCAGGCACTTGCTGTGAGATCCGGTTTCCATTGGCACCCACAGTGACAAGAAGCTACTAGATCTGTAAGGCCGAGGAAGGAAGGAAGGAAGGAAGGAAGGAAGGAAGGAAGGAAGCAAGGATGCCAGGATGTTTTCAAAAGCTAGAGACCCTGACCAGGCAGGTGGGGAAAAAGTTCAGACAGGATCTTGTAGACAGCGGTGGTATGAATCTTATTCCTGTGTTCCTCAGTTTGGCGACGAGTTGTGGTTACTGACGGAACAGGCCCGTGGATCGGAGGCAGCTTTTCATGGACTGCTTCCCGAAGATGATGACTTGCAGAGCACTCGTTTCAGGAAAAACCCACATGAGTCTGACCAGAAGGGTGGCAAGGTGTCTACGACCACCCGTGGACAAGAGGAGGTGAAGGAGTTTTTGAAGTTAGAGCTGGACTCATACTTTTCGGCTGTTCCAGACATTTCTATCTTCTTGCAACTTCTCACAGCTGATGGCTTGGAGCATTGACTGAATAGCGCAGGCAATGTAATTTGTGCTTAATTTTTATATCGTTTTTTTTACAGTTCCCCCCAGTGGCTGAGGATAACCCTCGTGATTTCGTGAAGGCAGTTGGAGATGGCTGGTCTCTTGATGATGGTGGGTCGGAAGCCAGGAAATTGAGAGACAGTATGTCTTGGGCGGGGAGGCAGCACGCATCGAGGCTGATTCGGCTTGTGCGCTCGAAGCAGGACAGGTTGATTCACATCCAGTCTGTCTTTCTCTTTGCAAAGTTTCCAAGGAAGGTAAGGTATCCAAAGGGGCAATGTTCGGAACGAGAATGCGAAAGAGAAACTCTTTTCAAGCCTGTCTTTCGGAGTGTGTCACTTCTTAAATAAAAGAACCGGTGATGCTTTCTGCTTTCGCAGGACGATTTCTTGGCCCGCCTTGGTGATGTGGCTGATGATGCTATGCAGTCTGCCAGTGATCACACGCACAGTGAGGAAGGCGACCGACCTGAAGGCAACAGAGCGGAGGGCGATCATTCGTCCGAGGTTTCTGAGGCTGAGGGTGGCACTCACTTGCAAGGCTTGCCAAGTGTCGCTGAGTTGGAGCGTTCAAGTGAAGACGAATGAGAGGAACTTGATGTATAGTCTGTAGCTGGGGGGTATACCTGTGGCTCGCAAATTGTTTTTCGAAACATGATCGTTGTAGTGTTGAACTGAAACTGTTTTTTTGGAATGCTTCTCTGTGCAGGTTTCAGCTCCCAGCTATCTGACGCTGAGAAAGGATGGCTGTGTAAAGAATTGCCGTAGCTGTAGCTTCCAGCAATGGTGCCTGGAATGCGTGGTGAAAGTTAGCATACGTGCAGCCTCGAGACCAGGAATGCAGAATGGATGAGCATTCTGCAGGTGAGGTCCGTTGCAGATGCAGCAATGGCCGGGCTCTCGCGAGCCTCCGTAAGATGTGATGGTAGTATTTAAAACAACACAGGACTTCAGTGCTGGCTTTTTTCTGATGCACCTTTAGCTGCATCTGCCCAGGTCGAATCCAGGTTTTAAGTGAGTTTTCAGGGTCCAGGATCTTTTTTCCATCAATCCCCGATAATAAGAAACTGCCATTGCACTGACCAAGGCTTTTCTTTCCAACCCTTGAATTCAGGAAGACACTGGCCGATTGCCTGGGGCCAGCGGCAATGCAGTACATTGGCGCTGTGCACGACGGTCCGGAGGCAATTGAGACACTGCAGTTCTTCAGTGTTTTGCTGCTCAGTCAGCTGGCAGCTATGTCTGAAGTGGATGCATACCATCGCTTTTGGCCCTGGAACGTAGTGGCTGCTTTTTCACCTTGTGCTGTTCCGGCATTGCTCTCTGAGATGAAAGATGCTTGGGTCTTTTGCACAGGGTTCGTGGATGTCCTGCCAAGCACAGACAAGCTCCATACGTGGTTTTCCTTCACGAGGTACCAAAGTTTCCGAGATGTCTTCGTGAAAGCTGAGAAGCTCAGCCTCGGAACCTTCAGTGCAACTTCCATGTTTTGATTTCCTCTAGAAAGATTTCCCGTTTTCATTTTAAAACGAACGCGGCGATCCCATACAACATCGGAGGCATTTTGCCTTCGACGCGTCCAAAATGGACACGGACGCCGCACATGCCTTCAAACGTGTGATCAGACAAGCTGCAGGCCTTAGCTTGAAGGATACTAGAGGTGAAACTCTCATGTCGTCTCTTTTCAGCGAGCTATGCTTCAATGATCTCCGAGATTGTTCTCGTCGACATCAGAAGAAGGAGCGGACAGTGCCTGTGAACCTGCACTCTGCTGTCATCAGATCCTTGATGAAGAAGTCTGGTGGATGCAAGACTCTGGACTTGGAAGCCAGTGATTGGAGTTCCCCTTTGCCTCATGCCGCAGCAGCAGTGAAAGCCTCTGTTCATTCAGCGACCCGTGCCTCGGACTCTTCTCTTGGTTTGAACTGCGTGGGGTTGACAAAGAACAAGACGAACAAGCAGCTCACGAAGCCTCATGTGCTGATGAGCCGCTTTCAGTTGTTCAAGCTGATGGCCGGAGTTTGGAAAAGCACCCCAGGAGATTCGGAAGCCAAATCCGATGCCGTACGAGATGCCATCAAGAAGCTTTGGTTGTGCAGACTCTTGCAACCGCATGTTTTTGTCCAAATCCAAGGCCATGAGGTGGAGGCCAATGAGCGTTGGCTGGTCCTTTCTGCTGGTCCCAACTGCTTGAAAGTTGTGAAGGTCAAGTCGAGTCCTCAAGAGGAAGAGATTTACCACTTGACAGAAAAGTCCTACGAAACTGGCTGCAAGAGTATCCTTGTACCGAGTGTTGACAGTGTGCAGGCCCGATGCACATTTTTTTTCTGAACCTGTTGTATGTAAGGCATGGGGTGCTAGCGAAACATTGGCCCTGCCTTATTTTGAGGGAGTCAAAGTCAAAACTGTTTCCTGCATCTGGAGTATTCCAGCCTTGGTATATATAACGGATTTAAACATTTCCAGAAAACAAGGGATTGGAAATAACTTGGTACGGTCCCCGACAGGTCGCCGTGGTGACAGCGGTGCTTGGTCAGGAGCATTTAGGATGGAAGCAAGACGGGGAGTGGCTTTGCCTTGCAGAATATGTGGCTGCGCACATGGTGACCGACCTCCCGTGCAATCTGCTGACATGTCTGATGTCGGCCATGGGTTTGAAAGGCATCTACAAACTTTCGCATCCTTTGAAAGTCGAGCTCTTCCTGAAGCACTTAGGCCGAAGTGATGCAGACATTGCCTTGGTCCTGTCAGAGCTGAAAGTTCGCACCAGACAGAAAAAGGAAGAAAAGGACGAAAGGAAGCAGGCAGCAGGTGAGCACGACAAAGAGCTTGCCGAGGATTCTTGCTTCAGCAACCAAAAGGTTATTTTTGTTTCAGCTGTTTAACACAGAGTAGGAATGAAGTTAGTACAATGGCTGGGTCCATAAAATAAAAGCCCTTTTTCAAGAAACCAAAAAAAGGGGTTTCACTAATCAGCAAAAAAAACCTGGTGTCAGGAGGGTTCTGCTGATGAAGAGCAAGATCTCCCTGAATGGGAAATTTCCGATATGATGTCCTCCTTGCACGAAATGTCAGCGGCAGAGGTTGATGCCCGTGGTGAGTTCTGCGATCCTGATGAGAACGTTGGTGCGGCACCTGCGGACGTTGCTGTTGGCGTCCCCGCTGCAGAAACGGAGGAAAAGAATGCGGAGGCCATGAACGTTGACCAGGCTGAAGAGTCAAAGGAGCAGAAGGCTGGAAACAGTGACAGTGCTCAGCCATCAACCAATAGTTTTCACATAAATCCACTCGGCTAGTATGTCCCAAAAAAGTTTTCAAGCACGGGTGTCAGGATTGGATGCTTCTGTTTCCCGTGCATGTAACTCAGTGTTTGGCGTGGTCTCTTCCAAAGCGTATTCATTGCCAAACCTTAAGCATTGCATGCAGATTCTCCATTCTTTTTTTCCATAACTACCATAACCATATCTCTGGCATCTATGTCCTAGGCTGTGCCTCATCTTTACAGCACCTTCTTGTCGCTTTTCCTCGCCTTTGCTCTTGTGCTACACCTCACCCCAGCAGTCAAATGTCACAGTCTGTAGTCCTGCGATGGACCACTTGTCGACCCCGGTGTTTGGTTGTACAGTACATGTGTACACATTCTTTTCAGCAATGCAATAACTTTTTGCTACCTATAAGAGAATTTTTTTGCAAAGGAGATTAAATCCCTCGTGGAGGCAAATCAAGATCAATTTTTGTTAATTTGTGTAGTGTAGAGTGTGTGAGTGTGTGTGTGTGTGTACGTGCTCAATTTTACGCTAATCAGTTGATCTGGTGTTGTTTGAAGTAAATAGCCCGATGGCACGTTAATACTACCTACCCTTCTTGATTTGATGCATGCCACTGTCAGACGCGTGAAGATGGACCTCATGCTCCAGCTCAACCTCGTGGAGCGGTTGTTGACGCTTCAACCCTTCCGCCGGGTTGCAAAACGAGCTATGGCTATAAAAGTGCGGCAAACCCCTTTGTGCAGTGCTTTTTGCCTCCGGGTTTCAAATTTGAAAAAAAGGGAAGCCGGTGCGTCAGCTTCCTCAGTGACAATGGACCCAGTTTCAAAGGAACAAGCCGGTCCAAAGAGGCTGCAGTGGCTTGCATGTCTTCTTGGGCATGGAGTTGGTGGCACAGTCTTTCGGACGATCAGCGCAGTGCTGTGCGATCGGTGTCAACTGCCAAAAGGGCCAGTAGCAGGGAGCGTTCCCTGTCTTCCCGTAGCAAAAGGTTGAAAACCTCTGGGTGCTGAAGTGCGCCATTGCAATTTAGATGAAATTGAGCCAGTTGTGTCGCGGCTGGTATGTGTTGAAAGCAACCAGCAAATTCTAATCTGAAACTTGACGCCCAAACCTGAGGCATGGGGGATTGCTTCGGGCCAGTGAAGTGACCAAAAAAAGAACTGATTTGTTGCTCATCCGGCTGCTGTTCTTGGAGGTCGCAGAGGGAACTGGTTCGAACATGTTATTGTCAGAGCTCTCAACCACCCAAGTTTGGTTTCATTCCCTCTCATTCGGGAGCTATGTGGCTGTTGTTAACCTACTTGCTCTTTCTTTTTCACATTTTCTTGATTTTCATCAATTTTGGCAACGAAATTGATCAGCTGTTGGGAATGGGTAAGGTCAGCTTTGAAATATATATATATACACAAGTTTGTAAGAACTTGATCAAACATGATACCCATCAATTTCTATTCTAATCCCTTCTCTCTAATGTTAAAATAGTTAAACACCGCCAGCAACCATGGTTTAGCACGGGATGAAAACACAACATGACTTAGACCATTTATCGGGAATGTTTAATATCGGGGAGATGGGATTATAACCCATCAATATCCGCATTAATTCAGATGTCAATGAAGGTTTTAGATTTAGTCATCTGAGACGTCATCAAATCCTAACATATGTATACATACTTTATTCATGGTTCTATCTCATTAATAGATCGACTTAATAATCTAGAAGTGGTATTGATGTCGTCTTAGAAGATGGTTCTATCTCATCAATAATTATGTTATGAAAATGATATCTCACCAATAATTGTGTTCTAAAAAAAATGTCAGCTAGTTACAATACGATTTATCAATAATCATTCATTATTGGCAAGCCCAATAATTATACTATTGCTTTGTCTTAAAGAGAAAAAACAATGACTTGATACCAATCGCAACTATGATCATAGTATCCCAATTAAGATCCATTCATGGATTATTATCACAAATATCTCAATTAATCTCCATATATCCCCATTAGTAATGGATTCTCAATTATAATCATCCATATTAATGGAAGACTATAACTAATATCACCATTATTTATGGATATTAATGGGGATAATACTATGATCATCATTAATTAATTATATTGAATGGGATATCATCACCATAAGAAATCGCGGCCTCTGCCGCCACGATCCGCGGCGCAAGGGATCTTCCCATCAGCAGCTCTGCGATGTACCGGGCACCAGCGCCTCGTCTTTCGTTTCCCGGTGAAAAATGGTGGATTTACCGATAATATCTGGTTGGTGGTTTCAACCCCTCTGAAAAATATTAGTCAGCTGGAATTACTATTCCCAATATATGGAAAAATGTTCCAAACCACCAACCAGATATAATATGATATATATATATAGATATGACTCTAGTATGATTATCGTCGATTTCACCAAAGAAACATGTGGATTTCATGAACAATAATTGGACTTGACCTAAGAAGAATGAGGGGCGAAACCGTCAAGAAAACAGGGTTCCGAAGTGCTGCTTCGAGTGGAGGCTCCAACATGGGGCGCAGCTAGAAGAAGGGGGATGAAACCATAAAAACATGGGAGTTACCCTCCAGTAAACTTACTGTTTGCTATGGAAAATCCACCATTGATTGATAAAACATTGATATAGGTAAATCATCAAACTAAATTTACTGGGCCATGGTTCCATAGCTATTCTTAGTTTACTTGGGAGTTGAAGAAATGGCTGAGGTATATGACAGGGCACCACTTAGAAAAGGGATGATAACACCAGGCTGTCGACGTGCCTTTCATCCATTGCCCCGCAACCTGGGCAGGGACGTAAGTGGTTGAAGCGACCTGGGTTAAGAACGGGATTCCCCTATTGGATTTTTCCTAATCCCCAGTATATTGGGATAATCCCCTATAATTCCCCTATTGGATAATTCCCAGTATATTGGCTTTTCTCTCATCCTTGGTATAATCCCCGAACTAATCAACCAGGGATTTTGGCAGTTCAATGTAACTTTGAAATAACAATGCAATGCCATTCGACAATCCGAAAGCGGCGTTCCTGTGAATCAGCCATGTTTCTTAATATGCAGACGTTGATGAATGAAAATAGACTCATGTGACTAGTGATTCGCCACTGCTGAAATTGACCCGCATCCAACTTGATTCTTGCCGTAGTACCTTACATTTCTTGGCCAATCAGATTTGGATCGGATATCCTCGACGTTACTGGCTTGGATATGACCAACATCTGCATCGAAACATCGTTGAAACTCGACATTTGCAGCTGATGTCTTGGTTGTTGACGATCACATTCCCAAGGTATTCCTGCTGTTACATTGTGATGACCAATCTTTTTTTCATAGCGCACTCAGACACCTTGTTTCTTTTGTTGAATATGATATTTCAAGGCTCAAAAAAGACAACTACTCACCAGCCATCCAAACCATGGGTGAATCCAAAACCTGTTTTTTTTTTCTGACACTCCGCTTGACTATGCTTGACTCATCTGGGGCATCCCGGAAGTAATAATTTCATGGTACCCCCTCCTATTTTTCTTGGGTTGTTGATACTCTATATCTATATAATTTCTGTATATGTATTCTATATTATATCTATATATAATATGTCATGTATAAAAGATGATTTGAGAAATCCGCTGTTGACATAGCACGCCCCCAGAAAAAAAAAGCGTATATGTAGAAACGTCAACACCTACGATGAAATAGTCATACCTTCCAATAATTTATATAACATAGCTACGGGAAGCCCCCAATCCACAGATGATTTACCTGTTAAAAATGTTGATATTCCACAGCTATGTATGTCCCATTCTATCCCATTAAAGAGGTATTTTAATAGGTCAATCATGAAACAAAATGGGTCACCTATAGACCATAGCTATGTAACAAATTACCTGAGGGTCTCCTGTAACTCATTTAAATCTCCATTTGTAGATTGTTCTGGGTAAATTATTTAAAAAAAATCACTCACCGGAATCTTGCGGCCATAAAAAGGGGATGATTTCCCGCAATCTAACTATGATTGTTCTATTTACCCAGATTCTTCAATGAAACATCTCCATTGTGATCGAATGTCCCAGCTGATTTTCCGATCCCACGATATCCCCACGTCCGTCACGTCCGAAGAAGCCTTCGCTTCTTTTCCCCCATGCCGCGCAGCCGTAGTGATCTGGGCGACCCCGAAATTGGCAAATGGTGGAGCCAAAAAAATGGCAGAATGAATGTTTCATGAGTATAGAATTTATAGTTTCTTGGAGATTTCATTGTGGTTTCATGGGAATAACCAACCTATATATATATGGGATATTTAAAAGGAATTTAGTGGCATTGAGGGCATTTACCCCAGAGTATCTAAACCAAGGATATACTCATATACTGGTACTGTAATGAAAATTTCATGAGATTTTCTGAGATATGACCAACAGTATGAGGGGGGCAATCCTTGAGGCCAAACATGATGCGAATTTTACAATCATATTCTAATATATAAATATATAATATATATATATATATTTAGATTACATGATGCAGCTTCCAGGATACCCAAGTTTGGGTCATACGCATCAAAATGCTTTGTATCCTCTACAAAATGGCACCCCAGTTATTAGTTGGTTCAAACTCCCATCCAACACGTTTCCCACAGACCCCAAGGTTTGCCCAAGCCCAGAATAGCGGGGCTTTACCCGGGAATTCTGTACCTCAAACAACTGGCAGGATTTTATGTTCAATCATGTTGCTAGGGTGTTAACCAGAACATGTTGCTTCTACATATCATAAAACCAGAACATGTCGCTTCTACAGATCATATGGATTTAACCATACACTCATTAGTTTTTTTTTATGTTTTTTTGTTTAAATAGGGTTTCAAGAAGATATCAAAATCCACCCTCCCCATGGAACAATTGATCATACGTATAGTCATTAGGGTTTCTTTAGGGTTTCTTTAGGGTTTCTTTAGGGTTTCTTTAGGGTTTCTTTAGGGTTTCAAGAAGATATCAAAATCATCCTCATCGTATGTCATCGTCATCGTCATCGTCATCCTCATCCTCATCCTCATCCTCATCGTCATCGTCATCATCATCATCATCATCACCATCATCATCCTCATCCTCATCCTCATCCTCATCCTCATCATCATCATCACCATCATCATCCTCATCATCCTCATCATCATCATCATCTTCGTCGTCGTCGCCGTCATCGCCGTCATCGTCATCGTCATCTTGGTTTGCCCGAGTCCGGGCAAACCTCAGGGTCTTGCCGTAACTATAGTCTATAGTTAAAAAAGTTATAGCACGTTGCGACCATGTAACAACTACATGGAAAAAAAACTATAGTTATGAACTATCACTATAGTCTATCGTTATAACTGCAATAACCCACCAGGCTGCCTCAATCGTCACCTCGGGCTCCTTGGCTGGTGAAATGGCCTTGAAAACATGGTGATTTATTCAGAATTTAATGGTGACTCAATGGTGACTGAATGGGATATGATGTGTATGTATGTAATTCTGTATATATATATATATTAAAATAAAATAGAATAATATAATCTAATTTATTATACAATATTATATAATAAATAAAATGGAGATTTGATTGACATACCCTATGGTAACTTCATGGTTTTCAAAATAAATGGGCCGTGGCTTCGCTATGTTAAACTCCTAACAAAGGCGTCCTGCGTGAGAATGGGACTCTGGAAGCTCCATGGCATGGAATCTGAGGTTACCCATGGTTTATGAAAAATGGGAGGTACTCCTCCAGTCATCTGACACTTAAAGGGTACCCTAGGTACCTTCCCAATTCAACAGCCTAGCCGTTCGGGGTTTATTCATCCAGGGACATTATTTTTCAAATCCGTTTTGGTTTCTCTGCAAGCAGTGGATTATTTTGCTGCATCCCTTTGAGCTAGATCAAAGATTGAATGCCAATCTTTATCCCTTGTTGCTGGTCAAAATCCCTGGTGAAAACCAACAGTTAACTATTCACTTAGATTCTTGCTGACAACAAATATCATAAAAAAAACAGAAAGGTACGCTGTCAGGTCCCCATTTTTCCACGTTTCTAAAAATGCAGTGTTTTTGCTACATCATGTTTAATCCTTTATGTTCATATATACCTGTGATGGTATTGCTAGAGATCCACACAGATTGTCAGACTTCCTCAGAGGTTGCCAAAGAATGTCCAGAGAGTCATGAAGGTCTCCAGGGAAAAGGAAGGAGGACAAACAAACATAGTGTGTGTATACATAAATGGCTTCCCTTAGGGGAGAGGTGGCAAAGGACAAAACATTTTTTTTTTCGAGCCTCCCCCCTCTCCTAGCCCTCCTAGATACATTGATGGACTTGCATTTTTCCTGGTAGTACTACTGTATGCATCTATGATACGGATGGTACATAAGTAGCACATACCAATACGTACACATATTTTCTGCATGTACTTTGCAAATGTAATGGAATTCTTCCAGGATTGATTGCAATAAAGACTCTTTGGTTGCAACTGACTTTGCTCATAAGAGTTGGCACTTGGCAAGGACAGCTCCAACCTACACTTTCTCCAAAAATATTTTTCCTGTATATTTCACAGAAATTTGCTATGCCACTGCATATCTAATCCAGGTATCCTGTTACCATAATTGCTTGGCTGTGTTTTTACGATCTTTTTATTACCATAAATGTACTCATGGCTGTGGACAAAAACTTAAACTATGTCAGTATAAGTCCACCATGGTAACCAGAAGGGCACAAGACCAAGTAAAGGAAACACTTAAGCAACCTTACCAAACAACTGTATCAATAGAATGGCTGCCTTGCTTTTCATTGATGCAGCAAGTTACCATTTTCATTGATGCAGCAAGTTACCATGAAGTATGCAAAAAAATGCAACCACTTGAGGAGGGACAGTAGATTGGAAAATGGGTGGCATATAAGTCACCTATGCCCTTACAGGCACAAGTGTTCTACATTTCTCCTGCATATGCAATGGTATTCTTCCAGGTTTCAATGCAATAAAAGATCTTTGCTTAAAATATTGATTGATCACAAGAGTTGGCAAATTCCAGGGGCACTTCCATTTCCCCCTTGCTTCAGAAAAGGCGTTTTACCTGCATATTACATAGTAATTTGCTGTGTCACTGCAAATATAAAGGCAGACATTTTATTACCATAAATGTACTCATGGCTGTGGGTAAAACTTAAGCTATGTCAGTATACGTTCACCATGGTAACCAGAAGGGCACAAGACCAAGTAGAGGAAACACTTAAGCAACCTTACCAAACAACTGTATCTATAGAATGGCTGCCTTGCTTTTCATTCATGCAGCAAGTTACCATGAAGTATGCAAAAAAATGCAACTACTTGAGAAAGGACAGTAGATTGGAAAATGGGTGGCATATAAGTCACCTATGCCCTTACAGGCACAAGTGTTCTACATTTCTCCTGCATATGCAATGGTATCCTTCTAGGGTTGCAACTGATTTTGTTCATAAGAGTTGGCACATTGCAGGGACAGCTCCAATCGACACTTTCTCCAAAAATATTTTTCCTGTATATTTCGCAGCAATTTGCTATGCCACTGCATATCTAATCCAGGTATCCTGTTACCATAATTGCTTGGCTGTGCTTTATGATCTTTTTATTACCATAAATTTACTCATGGCTATGGGCAGAACTTCAACTATGTTAGTATAAGTTCATCATGGTAACCAGAATGGCACAAGACCAAGTAAAGGAAACACCTAAGCAACCTTACCAAACAACTGTATCTATAGAATGGCTGCCTTACTTTTCATTGATGCAGCAAGTTACCATGAAGTATGCAAAAACAAATGTAACTACTTGAGGACGGAGACTAGATTGGAATTTGCACTTTCATTTGCTAAAAGAGTGACGCTGGAACTATGATGGCAAACAAATGGCGACGTGGCAGCCCAAAATCAAAAACCACCAATGCAAATACAAAGTGCTATGTATATGTATATATATATACTGTCTTTGCAATAGCTGTGTACCTAGGTAGTACCTATACGTTAATATAATATATACATGAAGTACCAACTGACACAATGAATCTCTATGTTTCAAGATGTTGTTGGGCAAAGAAAGAAGTTTGCCATTCATGCACTAAGACCACCTATCAAAAAAAAAATAGAGCTACAAAAAAGCAAGCAATCCAGAATAGAGCTAAGGATTGACAAACCAAAAGCAGTACATCTCCCAAGAACTTTGATCTTTCATATATGATCAAAAGATGAAAAGGAAACAAAAAATAGTCAAAAAAACGCTTAAAACCACGTATTTTTGGGGACCTGGTGGCGTACCACTCTCTAAAAAAAAACATCTCCCTGGGGAAAAACTAAGATACGTGCGGAAAATCCATTGATATCCGTACGTTGTTTGAAGATGATATCAAAATTGGTGTGTTTTCCATATCTTTTCTCCTCTTTTTGGTCAAATCTTCAAGGCTTTCCCGCGGTCCTCTTCATCTTCAGGGGTCATGCCATCCACCTTCAAGCGGCGTCAAGGGTCACTACATACAGTACGTCCCAAGGGGATTCGAGCATCAAAAAATGCCAGTGGGCCAGTGGGGATTACACAAAATGAAAAACTGTCTGTTTTAGATCATGTCTTACCAAAGTTGCGATTTCAGACGCAGATTTATGGATGTGCCAGGAATTTAAGGATTTACACATATTTGGGAGCATAATAATGGGCTCCAAAAAGATAGAACGGCTTCAATTTATCACCATTTCAGTGGGATTTACTTATCTTTTTGGGGTTCAATCGAGCTCATGACCCATAGTTATGACCGATAAACCATAGTTATAGTGTTTGCAACCTTTTATAACAATACCTGTGGGAGTTTCATGGAGTTGCATTATAGTCATATGTGTAGTGTTTATATCATCTTATATCCCATGCTATAGTTATAGCTACCCTCTGGTAAACTAACATAACTATGGAAAATCACCATTTTTAATGGGAAAACTCACTATAAATCACCATTTTCAATAGCTACCATGGTTATACCCATTTGTGACCTGAACCTGCTGAACCCCCCCAGGTTGGTCGTGCAACGACGCTGAGCACTTGACCTGGGCCGTACCTTTGACGCCCAGTGCATGCCCAAACTCATCACGACCTGCCGCGTCAGCGAAAACAACCGTGGCATCGTTCGAATCGGGGGCATAAATGGGGATTTCATGGGCGTATCTTCGGCGTATACAGTGTACACATGGATGTATATATATATATATATTTATATGTGCATATGGATGTGTATATATAAATATATATATATACTATACGTGATATATTACACACATATATATATATATATTATTATTTTATATTATACTAGTTATATTATATTATATTATATTATATTATATCATATTATATTATATTAAATTATATTACATTATATTATATTAAATTATATTATATATAAATATATATTCAATAATATATATATACTAGTAAATATATTTATGTATATATACTGTATTATATATATTATATTATATATATCATATATATACATTTATATGTATATATATATA